TCTTTTTCCCCCTACTTTAGGAAGATTGTAATGGCATTTTCAGAATTAATGTAAGTGTGTCCAAGAATTTAAATTTAAAATTAAGACCTGGAGAGAAAAAGCCTGGATTTTGGGTGCCCCGTGTCTGGTAAGCAAATATTATCATCAGAAAAATATCCTGAAGAATGCTAGATTTATCAACAAAACCCAACTCACTGGCGTCGAGTCAGTTCTGCCTCATAGCGATCCCTGTTGGGTTTCCGAGGCAGTAAATCTTTACAGAAGTAGATTGACCCATCTTTCTTCTGCTGAACAGCTGGTGGGTTTGAACCACCAACCTTCTAGTTAGCAGTCAAATGCCTTAGACACTTGACTCCTTATCACTTGACTTTCCTAATTTAAGAAGCATCATCAGAACTCCTTAGATTTTTCAGTAAAAGGTGTTAAGTCAGTATAATACAGCACAAAACTAAAAGTGATCCTATAAGAGAGCTTTAAATGAGTTTAACTAATATAAGACAATACAAGGCAAAGCACTTTCATGCAAAAATGAAGTAAATAAGAGAACAACTGGCATGTTGCTTCATTGAAATTAATGAAATATTACCTCACTATTTTTCTAATACTTTAAAGGTATATATCTGCAGTCAAATAGCTTTAAAAATTAGTGATGTGTGAAAAAAAGAGGAAATGGGTTTTTGTCTAATTTACGCTAAACTAAGGGACTCACCAGCCACTCCTCGGAAGATGGGGCAATCTACTTCCGTAGTGATACTGCCTTGGAAACCCAAGGAGGTGTGGCTATGAGTCGGGTCTGACTCGATGGCACATGACAACAACAACAACAACAACAAGGGCTCTCTGATGGAATAGTCCCTAAGGCATTTGACTGCTAATCAGAAGGCTGGCAGTTCAAACCCACCAGCCACTCCCCAGAAGGAAGGTTGGGCAATCTACTTCCGTAGTGACACTGCCTCAGAAAGCCAAGGAGGAGTTGCTGAGTCGGATCCGACTCCACGGCAATGGTTGCATTTTGCATTTGCATTAGTCCCAATAAAAATGTTTATAATTTTAAGAAATAAACTATCTTCTTAACAGTTGTGTTGTTGTTGTTGTTGTTATGTGTCTTCGAGTTGGAGCCAACTCATAGCGACCCCTCCTTGGGTTTCCAAGGCGGTGTCACTATGGAAGTAGATTGCCCAACCGGCCTTCCAGGGAGTGACTAGTGGGTTTGAACCGCCAGTCTTCTGGTTAGAAGTCAAGTGCCTTAGGCACTACACCACCAGAGCTCCTTAACAGTTGTAGAGAACCCTAAATCATAAAGCTATTTCACATGCATTTACATTGATGGATTTCCATAGAAAAGCTAAAGGTGAATAATCAGTAACACAATAGATTATATCTGACTCTAAAATTCATTTGCATTGAAAATAGGTTTTCAAAGCATTTACATCAAAGCTAAGGCATCTAGTCTTTCTTTCTCATCCATTTTACTAATGACCATGAAAGGAATCTCTAAATCACCTTCATTGATGAGTAGAGTATTCATCAACTTAATTTGTCCCCTTAAATTTAACTTTATCTTTTTTTTTTCCAAGATCATTATCTCTTAGAATAATGAGTGAACCCCATCAATGACACTGTGTGTGTCACAATTGACATTCTCTTCTAAATACGTAAGGTCTTTAAAAGGAGTAACATTTTACCCAGCTATACTCTAGGACTCATTGTTATCTTGTTTTGGTGTGAAATTTGGTTTTCTCAACATCTCATTTTGAAAACTTGTACACAATTTACACTGGGCTCTTACTTTTTAAAAGTTCCTATGAATTATGATAAATTT